CCCTGTTAATTCCTAATGCGGTAACTACAAAATCATTCCTACTTTTAAAAGAGGTGCTTTTTTTTTTTTTCCTTCTTAATACGTGGCCTAAGTGTCCAAATAAAGAATATCATTTCTAATGAGGCCATGTCCAAAAACATAACCTCGCCTGCCACTTCCACATTCAAGACGGGGCTTTGAGTTTTCAGGCACTTAGTTGAGAAGTCAAAGCAGCTTTTCATTCTTTCAGGCAGCACAAACAGGTCAGCAAAACCAAACTCTCTCTTCACTGCCGAAAATTCTGGTCAGAGGCAATGGCTGGCATTTCTGCTGGGCAGATGGTCCAGGCCAGGGGGTACCTGTCTACCTCGGAACGGGCTCAGTGGGGAAGGATGCCTTTCTCCATGCTACCCACAGTCAAGCCAACAGCTTCTGTGCAATGTCCACACATTGGTTCCAAAGGCAGGACGTCACGGCAAGGCACGCCTTGTGATCAGAGCAGAGAGCCTCGTCCCCAGGCGGGGGAGTATCTGGTCTGCAAAGGGCTGAGAGAGATGCTCACACGTCACAGTTCTGGGCCCCTGTTGCTGTAAATCATGTTAGCCATTTTTCAGCAGCCTATATCTCTGCCCATCGCTCGTTTCCATCCCTATGCCCTCACTGTCCAGCCCTCACCAGCACCTGGTTCCCTGCGTTTATGTCGTTTCTTAAGACCAAGTCTGCCTTAGGCAGCCCTGCCATGTGTTCGGTCCAGAGCCTTGTAAGTCTTCCATCCCAGCCCTCATGACCCCGCGATAAAGTTGCGCGCTTGATGTTTTTTGTCCCCATGAGAAGGGGAGTGCCCTTGTTGACATCACTACATCCTCAGTACCTCTCCCAGTGCTGGTGGGTAGAAAGCATTCAACAGCTGGCTGATGAACGAAGGGTACGTGCTGGACTTGACCCAAAACCCCGCCAGAATGCCCAGGGCAAGTGCTCACACTGTAGAGCCAGGCGGATCTTGGCTCACGTCCCAGCTCTGCATTGATTCGTGGCGGGATGTGGGGCAAGAGAAGCCCTCGCAAGGTGCCATCTCTTCATCTGTGAAACGGGTGTAGTCATATGTACCTGGTGTGGATGTTCTGAGAAGGGTCGAGTGAGATGGTGTACAGGACATTTGTAAGCCTGTGGCCAGGGGTGGCTCCTGTTATGGGAACCCAGCAGTGAAAGTGCTAGGAAGTCGACAGCCTGGATTCTGAGACACCCGGCGCTTTCAGGAGAGAGGGGTGAGGGAGGACAGGGCAGAAGACAGCCCCGCAGGCTTCTGGGGCCAGAGAAGAGCACCATGAACTTGAAAAGTACTCTTCCAGCTTGGCCCAAAGAACAACATCTCCTTGGACTGACTTCACCCAGCTCATCCCACCCATGGCGTGGTGATCCTGGCGACATGGGGGCACCAGGTGTGCCTCTCTGCATTCAGGAAATGCTCCCCCCACCACCAGAGGTCCTCTCCCTGCACACCCCAGGCCCCAGGTAAGCAGGCATCAATCTACCTGGAGAGCAGGACCCGCTTCAGGCCTGCCTGCTGAGATTTCATCCCATGAAATGTTGACATCACAACCACCTTCTTTTTCCTCCCTGCCAACCTCTGTCATCCCAGGAAACCTTATTGAGCTGGCTTCTCCTTGGCTTATAGACAAGACAACTAATCACGGACCTAAGAGCTCATCAACTTCAAAAGCGGCTGCCCCCATCCTGGGCCTGGATGAGAAAATCAATGTGCCTTTGAGTTGCCGTGTGTAACCAAGGGCCTCAGCCTCTGAGAATAAAAGAAGCCAGACCTCTGAGCAGTTCTACGAACAGGGCTGGAAGCTTCCCTGGCCTGAGGGAAGGCTTACAGCAAGTGATATGTTAAATGGTAGATCCAAATATCCATCATGCCCTCGAACTGTGGAAACCAGCTGGAGTGGTAGAAAATCACAACTCCAAGACCCTGGGCAGGACTGTCTGCCTCACCCAGCGGTAGGGGCAGCTGTCTGGCACCGTACCTGGCGTGATATATGTACTAAGTCAATGGGAACCACCTGACTGAATCCACTGAAGAAGGAAGCAGAGTCCAAACTGGGAAGACCCCCGCCTCCTGTGAGATGCAAAACCCATGTATATATGCATTGCAATTTCCCGGGTGGGAAGGCCCACCTGCCTACTGTCCCCTGCATGACAACTGGGCTTCCCAGCCACCGGTCCAGATCAGAGCAAATGCAGGAGTAACGTCGGTGATATGTGGGGCTGCTCTTGCCAGATAAATCTTCCTTTGGGGCTGTTTAAAAATCATGCCCATGATAGACAATCCACAGCAAAGGACATCCATGAACACGAGAATGAGCTCATCCCCACGAATAACTAAGAAAAACCCAAGTTCAGACTGAACAGGGTATCATCTGTCACCCATCAGCGTGGGAGAGGGTGCAGAGGTAATGGTCATTCTCAGTGCTGGTGGGTAGGTAGTTAGCACAGCCACTTGGGAGCCATTTGACAGCATCCAGTTGAACTGAAAATACTCAGACCCTACACCCAGCAATGCCAGGTCTGGGTTGCACACGCGCACAAGCAGACATGGATGAGAACGTTGACTGAAGGATCGTAACACTGGAAAACTGGCAAGAACCCAAAAGTCCACCGACCAAGGAGTGATTCAAATGCTTATACACTTGAATACTATAGAGCAGTTCCAAGGGAAGAGGGGATCTCAGAATCCAAAGGCTAAGAGAGAAAGTTAAGCTAGGAAACACTATGTTACACACACAATCCCCCCCAACTTTAAGAGCTTAACTTATGACCCATCTCACCCAGGAAGCTTCTCTGATCATCCCAGCCCGCTCTGAACTCCCAGGACACTTCTCTTACACGCTCAGCCTTCTGTACTCCACAGTACAGCTCATGACTTGTAGGTATGGACATGGCTACCTCCTCGGTTTGAATGCCAGTCCCTGGGGCAGAGAACACGGCTCCTATTTTCTCAGTAGACACCACAGGGCCCTGCACAGAGCAGGGGCCACAGTCGACATCTGCTGATCGACTCAATGGGACAGCTGCCCAAGCCCAATGGGAGCGGCCACCACAGTTCACACCCACCTGGGGCCTCACTCTCCAAGAACCCGAAAACACACCCCTTGTGTTGCTGCTAAAGTTCCTCCAAGCCCGCCTCCCGTTCCTACTGCCCTGCTGTTGCTCACGTCCAGAAAGTCATGGAAACCCCGCACTGTCTTGTCCATCCCCTTCCTCGGTGGCCTGAGGGTCCAGGCCGCCCCCACACACACGTCTACGTGTTAGACTGCAAGTGAGGAAGGCACGAGTAACCCCGAACGTAAGTACGGCCTAAGAATAACCATAAATCATTCTGATTCCATCCAGCGAGGATTCTAACTTATAACAGCAGGGAAGAAAAGGGACACTGTGGCTTTTTTTTTTTTCCCCTGGGCTTTAGCTTCTGCTGAGGAAGAATCCCACCCTGCTGTTACTTACAACCAGAAGTTCCTGATTTACATAGTACAGAGATGAAATATACCAGAGGCCCACAGGCATGGGGGCTGATTGGCGAGGTTTGGGTGTGAATTCCCACAGCACAGTGGCCCCTCACTTGCCCCTTCCCCACTTCTCGCTTTCTATCTATTCCTCCATCTAGGAGGATACAAGCAAAGCCCCACCTCCCTCAGTTTCCCTAACAATCGCTAATCTGTTTGCACAATCACCAGTCACAGTCCTGGAGCTGGGCTTGGAGCAGCGTGTTCTGGTAACGTGCGTTTGAATGTTTCGTGCGGTTGCTTCTATCACGCTGTGCAAACACTGAGCCCAGGAGACAGGGAACTGGGACTTCTCCTATCCCGCCTTTTTCTTTGTTCATCATCATAAAGCATTGTTACTAGGTGTTTAAAAAAAACACGCAAAAGCATAAAACACAAGTTATCTCTCTCTGTGGAGCAACAGAATAAAAGCCATTGGATGCTATTTTAACAGCCGTAAAAGCACGTGATTATATAGAGGAAGGCATAATGATAAAGTGCGTCACAAAGAACGTCAGCGTGGAGGGTGAGCCGTTGAACTCGAGTGGGTCCTGGAGATTAATCCTGACACACTGGAGGACCCAACACACCAGCGGACTCTGGGAGCCCCCTCTCTGACCACTGTGAATTCCCAGGTGGCTCACAGCCAGCTTCCCAGCTCCTGGCCCGAGACAGCAGCTGCCATACTCCCGGGGAAGATCCTTTACAAGGATCACCAAGGAAAGCAGAGAAGTGGGTGCTCACTAACTCACTGGCCAAGAATGCACCACGATTCACACCCTCTCTCTCCCGCTGTGACACATGGCTCAGGCCCTCAAACAATGGAAAAGAGGAACCGGGGGACGTCTCCATGGCTCCTCCAGAGTGAGAGCACGTGGGGTCAGGACGATACCAAGGAAACCAGACTGCACCCTGTCCTCCCGCAATCTGAAGTTTGCACAACATCCCCAGATGCTTTCTACTGTGCCCACCTCTGTCCCAGCCCTGCAACACACCTTGTTATCCTTAATACCTGTGAGTTCCCTGAGGTTGCAACACCCAGCGCGAAACGGAAGGGTTTGTGAATAGAGAGAGGGAAGCCAGGCTCTGGTTGGGGATCACCACTCCCATGGGACCCGCTCAACAGAGGCGTCCCTGGCCACCTCAAGAGGGAGATGCCTTACACAGCTCCCTCTTTCCTCCCAAACTCTCAAGGCACTGGAGGCTCCTTGTGATTCTGCAAGAATCTTGCTGATCCCAGTCTGTACACCAATGACTCTCAAGAAACAGGAGCATCTTAGTTACATCTGGCTTCAGGGAAAACTTAAATGGCGACATAGGGTAAAAAGTCAGGAAAAAAGAAAAACAACAAACAGGGTCTTGACAAACAAAATACTGCTGACAAGAAGTGCCTGGCATCAAATGACTCAAAAGCAGTTCCATCTTATTGCAGCCCAGAAATGCCATCTGCAGAACAAGGGAGCCTTGTTTGCTCTTTACCTCTACTCCCTGGACCTTCAGTTTCATGTGGTCCTCTCTGGTCGTTTTCCCATCTTTCCTCTTTTTCCAGCAATACCCATCTTTCCTGTATTTCACTTTCTTCCTGTTGTAGAGGATCATTGAGCCATTCTGCGGTCTGGAAACAACAAATGGTTAAGTTACCAAGAGAACCGAGCAGAAGAAAAATTTATGAAGAAAGATATCGTAGACCAGTAAAAGTCTCTACAGAAGAGCAATATTCCACATTTGCTGGGACATAATTTTTCACCTTTTATTGCAGCTCCCTGGATTAACCATGTTTTTTTTTTTATCATAGAGAATTTTTATTTTTTTATTATTTTTTTAACATCTTTATTGGAGTATAATTGCTTTACAATGGTGTGTTAATTTCTCCTTATAACAAAGTGAATCAGCTATACATATACATATATCCCCATATCTCCTCCCTCTTGCGTCTCCCTCCCACCTTGTTATATTCTTTTTTTTTTTTATATCTTTATTGGGGTATAATTGCTTTACAATGGTGTGTTAGTTTCTGCTTTATAACAAAGTGAATCAGTTATACATATACATATGTTCCCATATCTCTTCCCTCTTGCGTCTCCCTCCCTCCCACCCTCCCTATCCCACCCCTCCAGGCGGTATGGCCATGCAAAATTTGCTTGTGGATTTGGTACCTAATGAATTAAATGTGTCAATGATAGGCTTAAAAAACATCCCCTTAGTAATATCCACTATCTAATCAGGATATATGGTGTGGGAGCCCGAGCTCTGCCCTGAAAAGTAGGAAAAGCAGAAAGAAAGCAAAAAGAGCCGGGAGTGTTATGGCAGCCGGCAATATCTTATCTCTTGTAGAAAGATTTTCCGCACATTTTTTAATCCATCACCTAACATTAGTAAATAAATAAGTTTAACGCAGACACTAGATGACTACGTTAAGAACAGACCAATGGAAAAACTAGTCACTGAGGCCAGACGCTCTTGATTCATTGCCTGCATTTAGATTCCTACTGGATGTGGAAGAGCCCTACAGCCCTTCTTCCCAAGCAAGCTAAGTACCTGATTCTTTCCCATTTGGGCTTCAGTTGTGAAAGGGCTCAGCACTGCCAGGCAAATTTGTCTATTCGGTCCATGACCACCACATCTTAGAAAAATAGTTACCCACTTGCTAAATGCTAAGAGTGGGATGGCCGTTCTCCGTGCCGTTTAAAAAGAACAAAGAGAATCTTGAATTTCCCTAGAAGACCCCAAGCGTCAACCACAAAGACAGAGGATGTTTGCGCTCATCCGTGTAGCTGTAGCGGTGACAAATTTTGGTTTGGAGACACCAAGGAGACAAAGAACTAAACTCCCCTGGCAGCTGAGGGCAAGTGCTATGGTAAACCTTCCAGAATAAATAAAGCTCCAGCAGCTGGGGGCAGGTCCATCCTTTAAGGAAGATGCCCCCGAAAGCTACAAGACATGGCGCACCAGCCCTAGCCAGCTGTGTCACTCTCCACCTGAAGGCTCAACACAGAAAAAGGAAAGGGAAGTGATCTGTGCACCCAGGGGACCACACAGGCCTTCCAGCTCCTTCCTAGCCGGGGTGAGAGAGCTCCTGACACAAACAAGGCAAAGGAAGTGGTTTCTTCTTTTTCTTTTTTTAATCAATAATTTTTTATTGAAGTATAGTTGATTTACAAGGTTGTGTTAATTTCTGCTGTACAGCAAAGTGATTCAATTATACATATATATAATTCTTTTTTTTAAATATTCTTTCTCATTATGGTTTACGATAGGATATTGAATATAGTTCTCTGTGCTGTACAGTAGGACCTTGTTGTTTATCCATTCTATATATGACAGCTTACATCTGCTGACCCCAAACTCCCACCCCCTCCCTCCCCCAACCCCCCGCCCCCTTGGCAACCACCAGTCTGTTCTCTATGTCCGTGATTCTGTTTCTGTTTCATAGATAGGTTCCTTCTGATGCAAGTCGGCTCCTGTTTCTCTGCTGTGGCAGAGGTGAGAAAGCAAGCAGCCAGTCTTCCCCGGGGCTGGGGCAAGAGCCTCCATCCCTTTCTTTTCTTTTCCTTTGAACTATGGGCCACTTCACAGTTGGGCACAGAACGTTCGCTATTGATGTCTTACTATTCCACTGTCTGTAGGGGAAGAAAAAATCACTCCAGGTTGACAGCAGCTAATCGTAGTTCCCACCCAGCACCGTGCGGTTGGTTTGTGTCAGTGTTGGTTTCCTCCCCAAGCCTGCGCCGACTAAAACAATGGGGAAGCAGCTCCATGCGCTGTCACAACCTGTCACCTGACGGTATCTGTCTCGCACTTACGAGTCTGCACTGAAAACCTTACAGTTCTCTTTCATTTCTGAACGGCAGGCGGGCTGGAATACGGTCCCCACGGTGCCGGCCCCTTTCCATTTCAGCCCCGCTCTAGGTACAGGCACCCAATCTTCAGAGTGCTGTGAGTCCTCTCACTCCCTAAAAGACCCATTAGAAGGACCCCAAAGTCCAACGGCTGTGCTTAAGCCACTGTCCAAGGAATAAGCAAAGGAAGACATCTCATCAAATAGACGGGCTCTGCTTGTCTCGTCCCCTCCAAACAGGAAAGAAGACACCCACGAGAGTGTTGCAGGGACTCCCTTGGTCCCAGAATGCTCAGCTGCTAAAGAAGACAGGACATTAATCCAATCCAGCTTCTCGTGAGCTAAGACAGGAAGTGTGATTTGCTCCATCCTCTTGCCCTATCTAAACATGGTCAGTGAACCTCAGCAGTGCCTTCAGGCCAACTGTCCACAGATCACAAACGGTATGACCCAGAGAGAGGGGACGCCCCCAGACACCATCATATCCACAGTCAGAATAACAACGGCACCCACCCGAGGAAACCCATCTTCCTCTGGTGACCTGACCTTTGCGTTCTGGGAGCGTGAGGGGCCCTGTCATCCAACACTTTCAGTAGGACATAATCCCGCAGGGGACCAGAGTGTCCAACTTAAATGGCCTTAATAAATGGAATCATCATTTTAACTTGCAATAATGAGCAACCTAATAGTGTTTAATCTGCCACTCGGATTTTATTAGAACTTGCTCTGCTCTGCGTGATGGGGTAAGGTCCCTCCCCACACAGTTCACGGGTCCTGGAATGGCAAAGGGAAAGCTAGACGGGCTGCATGCAGAGGGGCCCACGTGCCCCACGATGCAAAGGAAGTGAGGCTGCGCCACCTCCCAGAGCACAGTCAAGAGCAAGTCGGCACTGATGGGAGGGATCTGAGGAAGACAGGGGGCCAGAGCACTGCCCTGGGGAGAAGGAGAGGTGGGCCAGACCGTGCGAGAGGGGGGCCGTCAGGGGAGAGCTTTGATAAGTTTCATGACAGCATGAAAGGGAGCACCCATCTGAGAAGAGCAAAGAAGCAGGAATGGAGTTGAGGACAGAAGGTGATGGCAACTGCAAGGACGAGGCACAAAAGTCCTGCCACATGACAATGTCACCAGCTCCCAGTTACTGCTAGCGCTGGGGGAGCGCGCCACGTGTGGCCTACGTCTGCTTCTATGTCTACATCTGCATCTATATCTACATCTACATGTCTACATCTATGCCTATGTCTACATCTATATCTACAACTACATCTGTATCCAGTCTATACCTACGTCCGAATCTCCATCTATGTCTATATCAATGTCTACACCTGTGTCTACATCTACATTTACGTCCACATCTCTATGTCTATATCTACATCTATGTCTACATCTACTTCTGTATCCATGTCTATATCTACACCTGTATCTCCAATATGTCTATATCTATGTCTACACCTGTGTCTATGTCTACATCTACATCTATGTCAACATCTCTATCTATGTCTACATCTACATCTATGTCTATATCTACATCTCCATCCATGTCTACATCTACATCTGTATCTTCATCTCCATCTATGCCTACATCTATATCTGTCTACACCTGTGTCTCTATCTACATCTATATCTATGCCCGTACCTACACCAATATCTATGTCTACACCTATGTCTGTATCTGTATCTATATCTCTATCTACATCTACATCTATGTCTCTATATCTCATCTATATCTCCATCTATGTCTACATCTATGTCTATCTACATCTGTATCTACACCCACATCTATGTCTACACCTATGTCTGTATCTGTATCTATATCTACATCTATATCTGGATCTACACCTATTTCTATATCTATGTCTGTGTCTATAACCTACATTTTTTCATCCTCACAGCAACCCTACGAGGTAGGTATTATTACCATCCCCAACATAAAGATGAGAAAATCAAGCCTTCTAGCCAGAAAGTGACTGGGCAGGATTCACTTGGAGTCACTGTGACTCTCCAGAGCTTCCTCCAAGGCATGGACTGGGGGGCCAGTCCCGGTTTGAATCCCAGTTCTGCTCTACTGGCTGGGTGAACCCTGATGCCCCGAAAGCACCCCTCACCCAATGGATGGGGATTTGGTGGGTGGCTTCCCAGCTTCCTCACTTCCTGTCCGGGTTGGGATAACACAGAAGCCATCCAGACCTCCTCGCCCCATGGTTAGGATAACTCTAGGTACTCTGTACCGCCTAGCACTACCATAAGACCCAGCAATTCCACTCCTGGGTTTATATCTGAAAAAAACAAAAACACTAATTCAAAAAGATACATGCACCTCTATGTTCACAGCAGCATTATTTACAATAGCCAAGATATGGAAGCAACCTAAGTGTCCATCACAGATGAACAGATAAAGAAGATGTTGATATCTATATACAATGGAATACCAGTCACAAAAAAGAGTGAAATTTTGCCATTTGTAGCAACATGCATGGACTTGGAGGGCATTATACTAAGTAGAATAAGTCAGACAGAGAAAGACAAATACTGTATGATATCACTTATATGTGGAATCTAAAAAATACAACAAACTATTGAATATAACAAAAAAGAAGCAGACTCACAATATAGAGAACAACTTAGTGGTTACCAGTGGGAAGAGGGAAGGGGTGAGGGGCAGTATAGGAGTAAGGGGTTAGAGGTACAACTATTAGGTATATAACAAGCTACAAGGATATAGTGTACAACACGGGGAATACAGCAAATATTTTACAATAATTAAAAATGGAGTATAGCC